CTATAAATCAAGGGACGCAGCCGAAAAGGGTCATAAAGGAGAAGGAAATTGAGGGAAACAGGAGCAAGGGAGAGTGTGAAATTGGGAACCACACAAACTTTGAGAGAGTAGAATTTCAATTGAGAATGAACTCGAAAAAATAAAAAATTAGATGGATGTCTTCAGGGGTTGTTTAAATTTCACCCGCACGTTTCCAGACAAACACGGTGTGCTTTCATAGTTTCAAAGAGAAATACATTATTTCATGTCCTGCTCTGTTATGCATTTTTTATTGAGAGTGCTATTTCTAATCCTACCCGTGTGTTTGGGATCCATATTGGACTTCAGAGATTTTTCGAATTCACAAGACTAGGAAATATTTTTGCAGTTAAGGAACTATTGATGTCCCCAGATTCTGTGGGAACCCTACTGGCTAAAAGGGATTTCTTAATAAGTACAACTTTTGCTTTTCCCTTTCCTTTAATATTTCTTATATATATATATATTATATATATATATAATATATAGTGGAACTTACTATAATGAATGGAGACTCAGAGGCAGTATATAGATTCAGCGTGCTTAGAATAATTCCACCCCAGTACATATAGATGAACAGGAGGGATGAAAAGATCAAGTAACATTGTTTTCAACCCTTGTTGAGTAAACTTTGCTCAACTTTAAAAGATATATATTTTTTATTTACTTTTGAGAGAGCACAAGTGCAGAGAAACAGAGGAAGGGGGACAGAGGATCTGAAGCAGGCTCTGCACTGACAGCAGTGAGCCCAATATGGCGCTTGAACTCCCAAACCAGGAGATCACGTCTTGAGCCAAAGCCTCTCGCTCAAGCGACTGAGCCACCACCCGGGTACCCCTGCCCTTCCTCAACTTTTCAACAGAATCACAAAATCACACTAGGGCAGTAGGTGTGGACCAACTTCTGAGTATATCTTGCCTCATTGGCTGAAGAAAATTCAAGCAATAAATAGAAACTGGGTGGAAAAGCAACATGAACATACAAAATGTTACCTTCCATCTTTGTGACAGAGAAAATACATGTAACCAATACCCACTGCCTCCCCAAGTAGGGTCTTCGAAAGCACCTGCAATAAATGATTCGAGTGATCTTAAAATCAAATCTTTAAGATGTGTTGAAGTTTTGCCTCACTATGAGAATGTCTCACTTTAAACGCCCTAAAATTGAAGGATCCTCTTACAACAGAATCACTCTCCTTCCCAAGGTGTGCGGTTTATTCAAATGACAATGTATGTATTTGGACTTTTCACAAAGCACAGCCCCTCAGCTTTTCAAGGTGCATTGACCTTCCACAGCAGGATTTGTCCCGTGCTCCGGTGTAGACTTAACACACAAATGGCAGGATCTTCTCAGGAACGAACCCTCTGCCCATGCGTGGGCTGGTGCACAAAACAACGAATTTGTATCAGGAAGTCTAGATGATGCAGCAGTGAGTTCTGTGTCTGCCTCACAGATGTCAGAAATCTGGAGAAAACAGACAACTCTGCCATCAGCTTTCACCTCTGAATTTGTAGACGCCTCTTTTCAAAGAAGTGCTGGGTTTTATTTTTTTTCTTTTGCTTTTGCTGTCTTCAGGTACTGCCTCTTACATTTTTTATTCTCACTCTCACATAAGAACTTCCCAATATTGCGGGTCTTGGGGTTTTTTTGTTTGTTTGCTTGCTTATTTTACTTGGTTTATCTCTTTGATACCTAATCACCCACTATGGTCTCCCTTCTATTTGGTTAAAAAATGGCATCTCTTGGTTCCAATGTGGCAGTATATCTTAGGGAACTATTTGGACAACTATGCAAAATTGATTAATAATTACAAAACAAAAACAAAAAACAAAAAGGAAATGCCCCCAATGTCCAGTGAAAGGGAATCTTAATTTAATCACGATATATCCATTCAGTGGAATCTTATGCAAAGGTTTAAAGGATATAGAAGAATGAGGGCACTGGGAGGCTCAGTTGGTTATGTGGCCAAATCTCTTGATTTCAGTTCAGGTCATGATCTCACTGTTCATGAGTTTGAGCCCCGAATTGGGCTCTGTGCTCACAGCTTGGAGCCTGCTTCAGATCCTCTGCCTCTCTCCCTCCCTCCCTCCCTCTCTCCTTCTCTCCCTCTCTCTCACTCTCTCTCAAAAATAAATGTTAGGGGTGCCTGGGTGGCTCAGTCGGTTAAGCGTCTGGCTTCAGCTCAGGTCATGATCTCACAGTTTGTGGGTTCGAGACCCACATCAGGATCTATGCTGATGGCTCAGCCTGTTTCAGATTCTGTGTCTCCCTCTCTCTCTGCCCCTTCCCCACTCATTCTCTGTCTCTCAAAACTGAATAAATGCTAAATAAATAAATAAATACATGTTAAAAAAATTAAAGGATATAAAAGAATGGCCTGCATTGATATTTGCATAGAAAAATACATAACCAAGGGGCGCCTGGGTGGCTTAGTCGGTTGAGCGTCCGACTTTCGCTTAGGTCATGATCTCGTGGTTCGTGGGTTCGGGCCCCGCATCGGGCTCTGTGCTGACTGCCAGCTCAGAGCCTGGAGGCTGTTTTGGAGTCTGTGTCTCCCTCTCTCTCTCTGACCCTCCCCTGCTCACGCTTTCTCTCTCTCTCTCCTAGAAATAAATAAAAATATTTTAAAAAAAAATACATAACCACACCTCCATCTCTTGAAAAGCTGGCGTATATATACCAATCTGTGATCAGTGCTTACCTCTGAAGGATGGGCATTTCTGAGAAAAGCTTCATTTTCTTTTCTCTATATTCCTTCACACAATGGATGTGTATCGTGCGTTTTAAAACATACTATATTTTGGAAAATGGGAAAATGTGTTGAAGAAGATCTCATTTTTATTTGCACAAACATGAGCATAGAAATATTAACGGCAGGTATCTCTACGTGATGAGAATATTTGGGATTTTCCTTTCGTGATTTTTTTTCTATTTTCAAGTTTCCTACAGTGAACACCTTATTAATTTTATTAATAATAAGGGGAATTTAACGTTTTTAGAAATGCCCTTAAAACAAGGCATGAGGGGCATGCCCCCACCCTCCCCAGCCCCAGCACATGGCCCCAGAAGGGCAGACATGCAGAAGACAGAGAGCCTTGACACCGGTGGCCCCAGAAAGAATAAAACAGTGACTTCGTACATAACAGAATCGCAGTTTCTAGCTCCACGTCCCAGGAGGGATTGCCCTTCTCAAGTACCGGCTCCTTTAGGCTTTCAGTAAAGTGCCCTCAACGGAATAGGCTTTGGAGAGTTTCTATTCTAGAAACTGCCTCTAAAATGCACGTTCCACAGCTTCTTGTCCATCACCGTGTCCCTAGTTTCTAGAGCGATGCCTAGAACTTGAGAGGCGTTTGCCAAACGAGCTAATGAACTAAAGGACTAATGAAAATTAAGGAGGGCGGGGCCTTGGGCAAAGAGAAAGAGAGGTTGCATTCTTGAAAATGCAAGATGACGGGACACAAGCGGCTGACACCGGTCAAAGCCGGGTATGTGCCACGGCGCAAAAACAGTCTTGAAAAATTTAAATAAACTTTCCAACCTTAACGACTGACCTGGCCCGGCCCTAAGTGACATCCTCCCGCACGCACGTGGGGAGCTGGTGAGGGGACACCTGATGGAGCTGGCGCTGGCCAGGGCCGCAAAGCAAAGGGACGCCTCGAACTGAGTGTGTGATACACACTCCGCAAGCCCATGTACATGCAACGAAGCTGAGAGCTACTCTTTTTTTTCAGCGAAGTAGGTTACATTACCCAAGAAGCAGAGCCTCACGTGGTTTCTGGAAGGAGCAAACAAATAGGATGCGCTCAAAGGGTACAGCAATTTAATCCACTCCAACAGATAAAACCTCTAAAAAAATCTGACTCATCTTTCCTTCTATGTCCTGGTAGGTATGTTTGAGATGATCCAATTTTATGGGGAAAGACCGTAATTGAGAAGAAACATAAAGCTAGGAGGCCGGGGCAGAATTCTATCAATTGCCTTGACAGGCAAGAAGGAAAGAAAGTATTAATAGTAGGATGCAAGATTATGGAGACTGTTTTACATCTGTTTTGCATAATGCTCTTCCGTCCTTGCCTCCCTGGCCACGAAGATCTTTTTTTTTTTTTTTTTTTTTTTTGATCTTTCAAAATAAATTCCTGGGAAGAAAGGCCAGGCGTGGAGAATAAGAAAATCAAAACCCTATTCTCTACACTGTTACTTGGCTCAACTCGTAAGAATCATTCTCTGAGGTAAAAGGAGCATCGATGACGATGATGTGTTTGTGGCTACCCTGCTTAAGAAAGTAAAATAAATGAACAGAAGGGTGGCGGAGGGAAGGAGAAGCTGATATCTGAATTTGTGATGCAGCCACTGCGTTCTCATTACTGCATTGTCTTTTTGTATTACTTTTGATTTATAACGTAATTGAAGAACTAGAGAAATGTTAATGGCAGGGGGACAGCCTTAAAGATGACAAAACTGTTTACTAATTATTGTCTTTAAATTCGGTTCATTATTGAAGTATTCCTTCTTGGGGTTCCTTTGCGAAGGGACCACCATTGGAGGAGGTCTGGGTGAAATGTATCATCTAGTTAGAAAGGGAAGTTTCATAATTTGCTTGTATTTCCCCCCCGGGTTGACCTTTTAAAGGAAGGGATAGACTGTAAATTAAAATTCTGTGCACTAGGGCTTGATAGCAAACCTTAAGGTGAGTCGCTGCATTTTTGTTTTGTATTTAGATGAGAAATTGTTGCTCGTGTTTACACTTTTTTTTTCAGCGTGTGCTGCTCATTATCTTAAGGGAAAGACAGAGAATATTGCAATGATTATTAGTGAGGCTGGTGATGAGGTTACTGAACCATTTGGAGTTGACTTTCCTTTTGTAATGCATAATTACAGGGGTTTATTTACAGTCTTTGTGTTTTTTTTCCCTGCTTTTTAATGATTCACATTTTTATTCTTTGTTCTCTCCCCTGTGAAGGGGAGGATTTCTCCATTTCTAGGATGAATTATTATTTGGAGTGCTGCATTATTCCCTGGAATGCTAGAATTAAAGAAAAATTTTCAAAACTAAATAAATAAAGAGCTACCCTCACTGCAGTAATGTTCTCAAGATCTGGGAAAAGCAGACCCAAAAAACCGAAGGCACAGAGCCATTATTCAACTAACACGTTTCCCACTTGTATGGTAATCCTGGGGCATATTATGTTGTAAAACATCTTATTCCCCTTCTAACTTCTTAAATTGCTCCAGATGCTCTTTAACCATAAAGAAATGTAATGATAATTTTTTTTAAAACTGCATCATCTGTTTCTATATCTGACTTCCCCGAGATGTGCCAGTTAGTTTGGGAAGTTCAAATCAGAAGCAAGTTTATGTATATGGTTCATTTGCACATAAATGGGGATGAAAGACTATAGTGAGCATCACAGTGGCATAGAGTTCCCAACCACCTCACTTTAGCAGAGAACTATTTAAATGTTCTGTGACATAATTGCCCCATCCACAAAATGGCAATGATAATAACGCCTCCCTGATGGGTTTTTGGAAGAATTGAATTCATTCATATATATATAAATATAAATACAAATATAAATATATATATGTATGTGTGTATATATATGTATATATAATCCAATTCTGGGCACATAAGAAGTGCTTAATGAATGTAAACTGCTATTTCCTAAAGTTTGCTAATCATGCCTTTGGTGGATATAAGATGGGCTGGTGTAATTCATGGTGAAATTTTTATTTTAGTATTTAACATGTATCAATTAGGATGCCCTTGGCTATGAAAAGTAGAGATTATTTATGAATAATAATTTTCAGCCAATACAATTTTTAAAATAAAAATTGCCTTAAAACAAGGGTTGGCCAAACTATAGCCCACAAGTCAAATCTGAACCATTGTCTATTTTTTTGTATGGTCTGCAAATCAGGAACGGTTCTGAATATTTGCAAACAATTCAGTGATGATGAACACTGAAGAAAGAAAAAGAGGAAAAAATGGAATCCCATTCTTCTCATCAGTAAATCTTTGCTATAAAAACTTCTACCCTATTAAGTATATTTTGAATTTCATCAACAAATGATTGGTAGAAGTTTGTTTTGCCTCTCGATCTATAAGTACCTATATAATGTCTTTGATTTTTGCCTCTTGATCTGTAAAGCCTAAAATATTTACAATCTGGACCTTTGCTATTGTCTCATAGAGCAAGAGGCCCAGGCGTAAAGCAATTCTCAACTGGTTCAGAGAGTGAGTCCATGATTCATGAACACAGAGATTCTTTCAATGTGTCTGCACTGCCATCCATCCTTATGGTGTGAGCTTTACCTACAGGCTGGTTTCTTTCATGGTCACAAGATGAGTTTCTCTAGCTCCAGGGATGCAGAAATATCACCCTCCAAATAAGAAAACCATTTCCAGAAATATGCCAGCGGACCTCTCCTTACCTCTCATTGGCCAGAACTGGGTCATATGACTGTGCTGGAACCGATCACCAAAGAAGGGACTAAAGCTTTGATGACTGGCTTAGACTAGTTACGTTCTACCTTCTGGAATTGGAAATGTGTCAGCTTTCCTTGAAGCATGTTATTGCGTGGAGAGAGGAAGTTTGGATAACCCAGCACACTGGGGTTCTGTTAAAAAGAGGGAGGAGGGGCCACGGACGGTGGATCGCAATCAATATCATGTTTGTGTATTAGGAAACTCTAAAATGAGCACCTTGAACCATGCTTTCATAGCTCTTATTATTGAGGATAAGGCTAATCTTATAAAGTCTATATAAATAAAAATATTAAATAATAAGAAAAGATCATGGCAAAAATTAGGGTACACAAAAGGTTAAATCACAAAATGACAAAGATTTAGACAATGTTACATGTTGGCCATTGTTTGTGCTATGCTGTGCTTTTTGCTTAGGAACTCCTATTGATTCTTCAAAGCCCATATCAAATGTTGTCTCAGGAATTTGAGCTGATCTCCTCTTTTTTTGCTCTTGTAGGATTAATTTCTCCCAGAGCACGGACTTTCTCTTATAGCTCTTCTAACAAGAACCAGCTTGTGTTATTTATGTATTCACTCCTGATTGGGAATACCCCATCTATCAGGTCGCCATTCATCAAACACTCGTTGAGCAGCACTCACGACCCACAAACAACATTTTTATGGTCATTTCTAACCCCGGCACCTAAGGCAGGACATGTGCGAGCTGCTTATGTTTGTTGTACAAATAAAGAACAGATCAAATAATTTCACAGATTGACCGTATCTATGCAAGTTGGACAAAAGGAGAAAGCAAATATCGAACACCTTCCACTCTAGCAAATTCTAATTTAATCCAAAATGAAACAGACCAATCTCATTAAAATTCTGAAATCTGAGTTACTTTTAGAAAGAGGCTCAGGGGCGCCTAGGGGGCTCAGTCAGTTAAGTTTGTCCGACGTCGGCTCAGGTCATGATCTCACGGTGTGCGGGTTCGAGCCCCGTGTCAGGCTCTGTGCTGAACAGTTACTCAGAGCCTGGAGCCTGCTTCTGATTCTGTGTCTCCTTCTCTCTCTGCCCCTCCTCCGATCACACTCTGTCTCTTGCTGTCTCTCAAAAATAAATTTTAAAATGTAAAAAAAAAAAAAAAAATTAGAAATAGGCCCAGACTAAAATGTCTCTGGGGTAGGACTGGATTAACGCATGGATAATTGGAGGTAAGGCCTTCCGTCCCCACCATTAGCTCTTTATCATTTTACTCTAGTTTAAGAGTGTCTGTAACTAACTTGCCTTCTTGTAAGGGAGTCCCCTCCAAAAACAAAACAAAACAAAAAAACAATAACTAAAAAACTAAAAACAGACTCCTGTCAACATCTAAGAATAATTTAATTCTAATTTACTTGAATAAATTTTTTCATGTTTATTCATTTTGAGAGAGACCACATGAGCCAGGTAGGGGCAGAAAGAGAGGGGGACAGAGGACCCAAAGCAGACTCTGAGCACAAAGCCTGACGTGGGACTCAGACCCACAAACCGTGAGATGGTGACCTGAGCTGACATTGGATGCTCAACTGACTGAGCCACCCAGGCACCCCTTGAATAAAATTTAAATTTTAAATGTTAAATGTTATTACCTTACTACCCTACTTGGAATGCTTTAATGACATCTCATGCCTCTCTGGATAAAGGCAGAAGCCTTCAAGATGCTTTACTGACCCAGTAACTTCACCCAGATCTTTCTTTCTTTCTTTCCAGTCTCACACTGCTCGCTCTCTTCCTTTCTCTGCCGCAGCCACACTGGTTTGCTTGCTGTCTTTCTAACATGAAGCTTCTCCTGCCTCAGGACCCTTGCTCTGCTTTCCCTCTGCTCTGAGTGCTCTCAACTCCTGTTTACCACGAGGTCTCCGATTATGTGCTACTTCTCCAGGGAAACCTTCCTGGTTCTTCCAAACTGGACAAAGCTCCCATATCACATGTTCTTACGGTCCTTGTATTTTTTTTCTCCAAAACAGTTATCTTTCTGGGGTGCCTGGGTGGCTTAGTGGGTTAGGCATCTGACTTCGGCTCAGGTCATGATCTCACAGTTCATGGGTTTGGGCCCGGTGTCGGGCTCTGTGCTGACAGCCCAGAGCCTGGAGCCTCCTTCAGATTCTGTGTCTCCCTCTCTCTCTGCCCCTCCTCTGCTCACGCTGTCTCTCTCTGTCTCAAAAATAAACATTTTTTAAAAGATTTTAATAGTTATCTTTTAGTTCAACTCATCCCTTGTGTAATTATGTGTTTGATTTCTATTTTCCCTATGAGAAGGTGAGGTCCTGGAGGTGGGGGAAGTGCGCATCGTAAACTGTTGTACCTGCAGCACCTGGAATAGAGCCTGGCACCCAGGAAGTCTTCAACAAAGACTGGATGAAGAAACTCTTAAATGAGCCTGTCCTCAGAGCAATAAGGTCACTGCCTGGGCCAATTTCTATTGGCCAATCTTCCAGAATCACAGGAATTCCAAAGTCATTTTCTCTTGACAACTAATACTCCTTTCTGCATTCACCCAACCAAGATTTATTGAGTGCCTGCTGTGGGCTGGGATTCTTGTGGTCAGTGAAGACGGAACCATGGACAAAATGACCAAGACCCAGGCCTCATGGAGTTCACATTCCAGCAGTGAGGCCAGAAAGGAGCAAACAAGCATACAAACACATAACGAAACGTCAAACAACAGCACAGGCTGTGAAGAAAGCACCAGAATTCTCTGTGGAAATAGGTTTTCGTGGTGGTGGCGGTGTCCTTTTCCAAAAACTGACTTTCTGTGCCATGAGAAAGAACAGCCACCATCCAGTTAGCAAGGATCTGAGCGTAGCTCACTCTTGACGCCACCTAGTAAGGGTCTGCTTACATCAGGATCTCCTTCCTGAGTAGGAAACAGACAACGAATAATATATTTCAGGGTTAATTTAACTTTTCAAATTACAAATTCATCTAAAGCGCCATCCACCGCCGGGCGATAACTCAGGCGCTGCCAGGTTTTAAGTACTGTAACGACGGGCTGGTGTTCAACTCCTGGCATACTTCTAAAAAGATGGCTACCCTGGGGTTTACATCAAGCCTACATAATCATATATTGAAGCCTGCCTTATTTATTTCCATGTTTCTGAAGCACCATTAATCATTTTTCTAAGATGACCGATGTGTTACATAATTAATAAAACACAGGAGCTTAGGAAGAAAGCCCAGAGAGAGAGATCCAGCCAGACACTGAGAAATGGTGCCACTTTGGGGTACCAATGAGGAGTTCAGTCTTCAGAAGGTCAAGTCTTAACTGGAGGAATAGGAAACGACCATCTTTCTTTCTCTTTTCTTTTCCAGCCTTCTCCTCCCTTTTTGTGTTTACCCAACTGGCCAGCGCTACCTTTTTTTTTTTTTTTTTTTTTTTAAGTCCAGAAAAAAGCACACTGGGAGGGAGGGATGAGGGACAGCGAATAAAATCATTAATTCAATTTCGCACCGTTTTGCCTCTGGTGATTGCTGCTACTGCGGGTAATGGCTTGTCCACAGTTCTGACCCAATTCTTAGACCCCCTCTTACGGTGCCCCGCCAATTAATCTAATGGTTCATTAATTGCAAACATCT